GGCGGCGGCGGCGGCACCTCGTCTGCTGCATTAGCACCAGCAGGAGGGCCTGCACCTTGTGCTGCTGCTGCTGCTGCTTGAAGAGCGGCAGCAGAAAGGACTCGATCAGTGTCGTTGGTGGTCCTGCGTCTCCACTCTTTAGAGGCCCTGGGGGCTCCAAAGCCCTGAAAACGCAACGCACATATCCGCAGCAGTGGCTAGAGCTGCTTCTGCGACTACCAATGCGGCTGTTTCACTTACTGCTGCTGCTGCTGCTGCCGCTGCTGCATGCACCTACACTGTTGTTCCCTGACGGAGTGCCGACCGGCCTGTAAGACCCCGCGCCTCCTTGGGGGCCCCCTCGAGGGGGCCCCGAGGAGTCATCTTCTCCTCCCCTGTGGGCTGCTTGCTTAAAGTAAGCATGCCGTGAGACTCTATGAGAACCATTTGGCGCTGCAGTGCCCCCGTTTGGGTGCAGAGCAGCCTGACTGTGCGGGGGGCCCCTCGGGGGAACCCTGAACCCCTGCCGAGGGACCCTCCTGGGGGCTAGCTCATCTGGAGAATGGGCAAAGGCACAAAGGGCTCCTCTCTGGCACCGGCCAACAGCAGCATAACGACAGAGAGCTGATTTTTGTCCCCTGAAGATCCATACAGAAGTGGCGCAGCAGAGCCCACCTGTGGGCTGCGGGTCCCGCCAGGCAGCAAGCCCGAGGGGGCCCCCCACACTAAACGCATTTCAGGAGCCCTTTAGGAGGCTAGCCTTACCTAGGGGGTGCAGAGGGTACAGCAGACATCCTGTGGGCCCTGGAGAGGCCAGGAGAGGGGCCCCTGTGCACTGGGGCGCCTGCAGGAGGTGGCTGCCGCGGTGTCCAGGCGCTGCAGGTGTACAGACACTGCAGCCGGGGTCTCGTTCAGCCCTTCGTCAAAGAGCTCCGGCAGCCACAGGCAGGAAGCAGGTGACACACAGGTTGCGCAGAACGGAAACGCAGACGGGCCGAAAGATAGGACAGATTGGCCCCTCGCTGCCAAGCGGTGCGGGCCCTGGGGCCCCCGCAACGCGGGGTTCACCCAGGGAAGTAGCGGGGACGGTGCCCTCAGGTCAAGGGTTAGGGGGCCCCGTTGTTGTAGAAAAGGGGACTTGCAGCGGTGCGGGGCAGCTGTAGGGAGGCCGCAGCTGCCGAGCTGCTAGGGCCCCTTGTCTGGCTAGGTGGGGCCCCCTCCCTCAAGCTGATGCCTTTGTGCAAAAGACGTGGAATTGTTTGCGGAAATGCAGGAAACAAGGAAAAGGTACGAAATCAGGAGAGACAGAGAGGGGCCCCCTGGGGCCTTAGGCGCCGCGGCCGATAAACCCACGCGTAAGGGCTGGGAAGAGGGGCAAAACGAGTATCTATGAAGATGGCAATCTCCGCCTGCCTATGCATTCATATACAAATTCATTTCTTTTTCTAATTTTGTAAACTCGGGGACTCCAAGGCGCCGCCAAGCAACAGCACCACCGACGCTGCCCAGCAACTGCGCCCTTGCTGCCAGCAGCACAGCGCAACACAGCCCCGCAGGACACCGCTGCAGCCATTTCAGCAGCAGTTGGAAATTGAAACAGCAGCAAATTACAACAAGGATTTCTCCCTTGAGAAATTGCGAATGGAAAAAGACTTGAAATGGCGTAGTTCGCATTCTAGGCAAACTGTACTACGGAGCACAAGCGCAGCTGCTTGTGTTCGGAGCTCGAGCTGCTGGTGTGCCTAGCCGGGATATCGGTTATCATGCACTTTAGATGAAGTAAGACTTAAAGTCCTTAAAACTCAAAAGACGGCCCTGATGCGACAGTTGAAATTCCCTGCAGTGGTGCAGTGCTGCGCGCTGCTATACAAGTAGACGTTTAATAGCATTGCTCCCCTTGAAAAACGTTGCGCAACGGGCATTAACACAGGAGAGGATTTCGTGCAGTTTCAGCACCCATACCTCAGCAGCGCTGGTATAGGAATAATTTTTGCCGTGATAGTGTTTTCCGAGTGATGGCTCTGTGGGGCTCTACACGCCATTAGATGCAGTACAGGTGAAACGTGGTACATACGTTGATCACGATCCTTGAAGCATTGAAGAATAGTGCAGCCATGATGAGAGATAAAGAATATCCGGGTAACGAAAGCTAGAGGAAGGGGCTAGGGCTTTTTACGAGATGGCGTGATATGATGTCCCAGGGGTTCTGTTGGCCCCCATTTCACAATGCGCAACGAAACACATATTCGTAAACCCTGTATATTCCTGGGATGCAATATTTTAGCGCTACCCGTGCTCATATCGAGGTAGGCGGATTGACGCTGCTGTCACGGCCCTCGTGCAAACAGGAAACTACAGGGACTTTACAAAGCAAGTCCGGCCCGAGTGCATGATGCACTGCCCCATGTAGTCGCGATAAATATTTTCGATACAGTGTTGCTTCTCCTATCTTCTGGAGTCCTATTGCTGCAAATTTCTGGCATCTCAGAGCGTTGTGGCTGTACGTTTGCGTTATCTAGTCGCAAGAGGTTGCATTTTGGCTGGATGGTGGCAAGGATAACAAGTGGTGAGCTTGTGAAGGTTTTTGTTCCGTAAAACTAGATAGCGGAACGTATTCCAGAGGTCGGAGTGCTGGACTCTGCTGTGCTACACGGCATAAACGTAAAATGGCATTTACAATGAGATGTTGCTGCGTATTAATGAAAGCGGCAGGAGCAGGTGGCATGGTGTACCAAATGCGCACACAAGCAAAACTGGCGAAGAGAAGGGCCGGCTGGAAAAAAATCTGCCAAAAAGCCAGGGAGAGTAGCTATACATCATTCAGAAACGGCGAACGAGGCGGTGGCAGTCTACCGCTCACCGTCCATACAATACAACTCGTATGCTAGAGCAGTGATGGATTTGTGGACCCAAAATTCCTACTGCAGAGGTGCTCAAACTGATATCAACTCACAAATTTATTTCAAGAGGCTAGGTTTGTATTAGCTTTGGCCGAAGTTGGCACACGCTTTGCCTCATGCCTTTACAAAGAACCTTAGGGGGTCCTACTATGTGCCTTGCTGCTTCACAAGACAGGTTTATAGCAGTCTTGCAAAGCTTCCCAAATTGACATAAAACATGCTGAAGGCGAATCGGAGAAGTCTTAGCTTGATGTCGCATGAGAGTTTACTCTCTAGGAACAATGGTTGCAAACCATAAAGTCCAAAGAACGCGCCTACAGAGGTACTCGTTCTACGTTGCCATCGAGCCACCTTCTTGGATGTACTACGCTCCAAAATGCCACGAAGCACCCTCATGGCCATTCCTTCTTATTGTTGCGCGCAAACCTTAAACAAGGACTGTTTTTGCGTTGTGTAATGCCAGATCAGTTCAATTTGCACGAACAGGCACCGACAAAGAGTTTCAGTTGTTTTGTGGATAGTCCCAACGAACCCCCTAATGCCGGCCCGAAAATCAGGGTAGAGCAACACAATGAATGCTCAAATGAACAGAAATTATCGAAGGTGGCTAATTATGAAGCGCTTATTGCCTATACAGCTGCCGCTGATTTCCCAATGCCCACATTCAGATCACACCATAGATGTGGGGGCTGCTAGGTGTTTTTTATTCAACAGATTTTGATTCAAGCCTACATCGTATTCGGCGAAGGAGCGGCGGCGAAGGACAACTTTCGACTCAGTCTTGAGGCTAATAAAGAGAAAAATGTTGGGAACTGCTAGATACTTTTTTCCAGATAAATTTAAAGATTTGACTTTAATCATCGAATTTGATTTGATTCATTTCAATTTGATTCGCCTACCTGCACGAACACAGAGGAGGACTATTGAAAGTCGGCTTCCCACTCCGTGTTGGGGCTATTCCAGTACAACATCGGGCCCCTTGGCACCGAGCATGCCTGAGCCGCCTTTCATGCCAACATCAACTCTTATCTTCAGCCGTTATTAAGTCAGGATATTTTCGGGTGCCCCAATAATGTGGTTGGAGGGAGTTCTTACATCCAGGCCTAAACTGCTGGGGTAATTCTTCACAATCTTTCCTGACTACCGTTGCCTCCTCAAGTTCTTCAAACGCAAGCTTGAAAAGGAAACCTGCCTACTCCAGCTATTCTATTAGTGCAGACGCTGTAAATTTCGCTGCACACAAGGGAAAAGCCATAAATGTCTATCATGAGATGCTACGATCAAGCGCATCAGCTTTTTGGAACGGCACACTGGTGCCGTATGTTTATAAGGCCAGAATTCGCCGGACTCACAATTGCGCTTGGAATCTGAGGCCATTTGACTGGGCGCATCCCCAGACTCGCTCCCTACGAAGACTGTTGCCGAGCCTACTTTTGCGAATATACAAGTTCAAGGTACTACGAGTCCTTGCAAGTTGCACATGGGTGCCGCTCGCTGTGCGAAAGGTGAGGTACTTGAACGTGGATTCCAGGATTTTTTGATGTATAGATTTTGTATCTAGTGATCCGCGAGCCTCACACGGCCGCTACACAACAAAAAAGCGAAATCGAAATTGAAGCTCCGTAGCTACTGGTGCACCTTTTGCTTCGAATTTCCGTACCTACGTATTTCTACTGCAGACAAAGGGCACATTTGGATGCCGCAGCTTCTTCACGTTTGCGAGACAAATCCGAAGCACTTACGTTATTGCACGGTTTGTTTGCACGATTCCCAGTGCACTTTCATTGCACGACACCCCCCAACACGCAGGCCCAGAGACCTCACGATGGCAGTATGTTGTCTGAAGAGCTCTCACTGACTGGAAGCTCTGCTGGCTCAAGCAATCTACAGAGTGAGCGGCGTTATAAAATCCACAGATGTCAGCGATATTGCAGAGGTGTAAGCTAATATATCTGCTTGTGCACTTCGACATAAAGCAGCTAAG